GTCACCCCAACCTACTCTTCATTTCATTCAGATCGATCATCCAATTCTCCAGACACTCCCCAAATCTCCCAAGAACTAGATAATTTTATCACCCTACAACAACAACCCTTCCACCTTGACACCCCCACTATAAATCAGATTTCATCCACAATAGAATAATCAAACCCACCTACCCCTACACCCTCTTCAGCTTATACCGCATCATTAGCACCATCATCCACATCCACCGAATCATCAAATAGCACTAATAGAGCTTATCGCACTTTCAAAAGAAAATTCCCAAACCATCCATTTCCAACAAAACCAGGAACAGCCCGTGAATATATTAATCATCCAAATCACACTAACACGAAAGATTTTTTAGCAATCACCTTACCTTCATTTCCACAGTATACATTGAACACCCCTAACGACACTAACGACACACGTAGTTTTGTAGATGAACAAGTTTTAATGCCTACACTTCATTGGACATCATATTATCATTTTACTAACCCCCTTTGCCTACCTTTATCTAATACTCACATCGATATAGAAAGAAATCAAAATATGCTATATCGACTCACCACACCACTAACACATAGACAATTTACTTATATAGGATATAAAAAGTCACTAAAAACATACACTGCACACCGAGCTAACGAATATACGCTAGAATATTACGATCACATTATCATCCGAGCTAACCAAGACCAATTTTTAGATGATGATCGCTTCGCTAACCCACAAATCACAGAAAAATTCTTCATCAAAACACCATATGTATTTACACTCAATATATTTGATCGCAAATTCGACCACGTCATTTCTGAAGCACTAACCGACATGATAGCTTACGAAAGTTTTAAAGGAAGATTTCAATTATTTTCACTAACCTTCAATTTCCTTGCACCACAAGAACGCGATTTGCACTGCTCACACGACATTATGTTACGCACTAAACAAACCCACACATATACATATTATCGCTTCATACAAAATCATTTTGATCTACACACTCCATCAAGACAACCACACCACCGTTTTCAATTTATTAACTCTAAATACACTTCACCATTTTTTCTTAACTTCACATATTGCATCAAAGATACTAACCTTCACGGTATTCTTCGCAATTATGATCCCATAACCCAAATGTATATTTTTTGTCCCATCACGAAGACCTTCAACGCAGAAGAATCCAGACCCTTCCTTATCCCACATGAATTTATTCAACCTATAGAAATCCCGATATTAGAATTCATCCACAACACTAAATACAATCACAAATTATATAATCTCATCCAAAACACACCTTATGAGTTTGCAGTTGGCACTGAAGAACTAAAAACTATTAAAGCACTTCAATTGCTTTGGCCACTGCTTCGAACTAAAAACATCATTCGCATACTAGCAAAATTACTAACAAATTCCGACAACATACACGACATCTTCCCCCACGGTTTTTTCCCCGACGACTAACAGGTAAGTATAATTTATACATATTCTTCACTAATAATTTTGAAATAAATACTAACTATTCTTTATCCATGTCTTATTTAGATTTTTAGTCTTCATCCCACGATCATCTGCAAATTACACAAAAGAAAAATAAAAAATAGAAAACTTCTTCAAATTCTTCAAAACTCTATTAATATTTTGCACTACATAAATTCAATAAAAATCATACCAATGTAGTAAATTAATTTATAAATTATTTCCCTAAAAGCAGTAATTCTAATAATGATGAAAATTTGTAACTTAATTTTTCCCCAAAAAACTAGCAGTAAAATTGAAATTCTATGTAGTAAATTGATAAAACGAAAATGCAGTACTAACCTTTTGATATTTCCATTCACTCGCACAAAAATTCTATCCAAACTCGCACAGCTCGCCCACGAAGAATTGTTTAAATAATGAATTTCAGTTTCAAGCTTTCACACTCAACAACTCTAACACACGATAACACGTTTCAAACTTTCCTTTAACCCGGTTGGAAAGGAATTATATACTAAACAAAACTAACCAATGCAGCTTACTAAACACCACAAATCATAGAATAACAGCATGACTAAAGAAAGGAAACCAACGGTACCCAAACCGGATTAACCCAGTTTAAAACTGGATAATTTATTCTTTTGAAGACTATTATAAAGTCTAAGAAAGAAATAATAAAACACAAAAAAGTCGAAAGACAAACCCATACCAAAAACAATTTGATTTTTGAAAAAAGGACACAACGAACGAAACATAAGAAAAACCACAATAAACCCAACATAAAACGTTATCACATAACAGGACCTCTCACAGAAACCGCACGAAATCATACTCCCACTCCTGGCCTAACCCACCAGAGAGGACGTCCTGAGCATGCTCTATAGCCGGCCTAACCCACCGAGCTACATCCACGCTTTGTGACCACACTTCTATTTTTAAAAAGAGGTACTCAAGGGTGAGTAACTCTTCAAAATAACCGAACTAAAACAAAAAGCTTTTGTGAAAACAACTAACCAAAATCATAATTAAAACACCGAACTAATAAAATTTTTATAAATTGTAAATTATACCTTGCAGTATATAGATCAGCATACAACACCAAAGACGAACATCCAAAGACAAAATGACCCCACTACACTCGAAAAAGAATGGCCAACCACAATCAATATGCCGTCCACAATCACAACTCAAAGGATTTAGAGTACGACTTGACTTCGCAGAAAAGGACTTCATTGAACTAGACCAATGACCACCTCGATGTTCAAGTATACGTACAGATCCGAGTAACCAGGCATCCCCTCCACGCACAATCTCCACGCCATTCCCAGACGAGGTTGAACACAAAAGAAGTTCTCTACATGAAACAGAAAAACCTGTCATAGCAAACCATTCTGAAATCAGATTTGAGTTTGTTGAGAAAACCCAGTCGTTGTCATAAGAAGACACAACGATTGATCCTGGAACTTCTCTAACAGGAGAACCCAGAAGAAATACGATGTTCGCCAAATACCAACGTCCATCATGCATCCTTTGAATTGCAGAAAAACTATTCTAAAAAACTCTGTAAAACCCGGATGGGTGGAACCTGATCTAAACTACATTTTATGATTGGATAAATTAGATATTTTACCACTGTAAAGTATTTAATATTAACCAATCATGATCCATCTAACTAACAACCCACTTATTTGTAAGTGCTGAGATTACTTGTAATTTCAGCACCAGAGAGATTTGAATTTAACTTAGAGATTAGTTGCCTCTCCAAGAGAACTTCAGCAGCCGCAATAAACCAGTATACCCTAGATCTATTGAGCCTAGCAGAGACTAGTTAAACAACCTGAGACTAGATAGTATAAGAGTAAGATTAGGATCGGGATTAGACTAAGAAGTTGCACGAATCTATCCGGCCGAAAATAAGATAGCGTGACGAGCAGACGGTGTACCCTATCCGAAATTACTCTATGAGTTAAGACCATCGGTTATAACTCACTACCCCTATACCAAAATATATGGCAAAAACTAGCCTACAATGGGTCCAAAAAACAGTTGTCAAGGAGTCAAGGTTGATGACATCTTTTAAAAATTCAAATTGAAAACCGCTCATCTTTTTTATAAATCGATCAAGAACCGCTCAAGATTTTGAGCGTCAATTGGCTGCAATGACTCATTTTCTGATGTGCTTTCAGAACGCTGTTTTAATGGTCGAAAAGTCTCCATAAACTCATAGTTACTAAGGCCCTTCTGACCACACTTTGAACTAAGAAGTTTCCCTACTAGAACATGAAATATCTAAAAATGGGTTGGGAAAAATGCATAGAGCATCGGGGAATACAAATTTAAGAAAATTAAATCTTTTTTGGTACATTTTTATTTTGGAATCGATTGCAATTCAGTCTTTTCGATGAGAAAAAGTAGAATGATGTTTTAAAAAACTACGAATACTGGTTGCGATATTACGAAGTCTCAGAAGCTCAAATTTTCCTCATTTTAACTCACGTCAATGTTTTTGAAAGAGCAGCAGAAAAAGAGTTGCTCAATTAATTGCAAAAAAAAAAACAAAAAAAATCATATTTTTTTGGTTAAATGTTTAATAAACTCCCCCTGATTAATTGCTAAGATAAATCTACGAAATGAGAGGGACGAAAAACAAACTCAAAGATGAAGAAAACCCTCGACAGGTGGCATGTTTACAAAATGTGATTTGAATTTTTTCATTTTTTCTCAGCAGGGGATGGTGGATTTTGTAAAAAAGAAGCGCTACAGGGGCAACAGCCAAAAAACTTAACTTAATACATACCACAATAACATACCAATAAATTGTACCAATATATATTTGGGCTCATTTGGACTCCTATCAGTGATAGTGAAATCAGATATTAAAATTTTATAGAGTATTTTATAATTCCAATGAAGACAACAGATTTGAATTTCTCTTCAGGAGAGAAAAGGCCGTACAAGGTGTCCGTAGATCCTTATGTAAGAACCACCTCTGTAGTTTTTGATTAAGACCGAGCTGTTATTTTTTGATGGTTAACCTGTCAATCAACTTTGCCTCGCCGTCAAAAACTGGAATGCGAAATGCCCGTTGCTCTAAAATTGAGGTAGTTTTTCATTTTTAAAATCGATTGTTTTAAGTTTCAGACAAAAATTTGGTTAGAACACAAAAAATTGTGCCACTTTTTTCAAGAAAGTGTTTTTACTTGCTTGGACGATTATATATTTTGTATGTAAAAACATTCTGAGGTTATTCTCGTTTTGCATTTTTTTGTTATTTGATTTATTAGATGTCGTAAAATTCGAGTCTTTTGTTTTCATTTCCATTTAAATAACTAGATGGCCTTTAAACACAGAAAAAATGGTTGATATCGTCAATTTATCAAACGAACGTTCAAATCTCAAATGCCTTGAATAAATTACAATTCAAATTATAAAATGCCAAAAAATTAAACTTTTTATTTTGGTTACTTCCAACTGGATGCCCAGGCAATGGATACCCGAGCTGTTTAACAAACGATAAAAAACATGTTTTTATTTCAAAGTTACATATCAAACTGACTTGGTCTAATAATCAAAATAAGTCATCTGAATTGGCTTAATTTTTGGTCGAAGAGTCTAATATATTACATACTCTCAATGCATTGATTACAGATACTTTTTGACTGCTAAAAATAACGTGAAGTTTTTGTACAACTTTGTTGAAAAAACACAGAGTTTATTGTTTAAAAACTCACTGTTTATTTACATTTCGTTTTTAAACCAATTATCTTTTGTTTATTGGTTGATATTTTGGGATAAATTTCGGCCATGCCTCAAGGAGGCTTTTCGCTGCTGAGTCGCGGAGTGGGTGCTAAGGTCCATACAAAGTCAGGCCATGACCGGCTGGACATAATCTACGAGCCACAGGTACTTTTCAAACTTATACATACAATTGCGTTTCATCAAGGACGAATAAGTCAGCAAGCCATTTTTTAAATTTTCAAATCACCCAGAAAAACCCGCCGTCGCAAAAAAAACTGGGTATAAATTTGACTATTTTTCAAAGTTGTGAAGTAAAAACCATTAAAGCCAACTTTGCGTTGCTCGGAAACTTTGGAACACAAAAAAAACGACTCGGGGCATTTTACATGTCGCTTTGAGATCGTTAAACGTTTGAAACGATTCTCAATGGTGGTGTGCGGACAAGCTTTGTTTTGATTCTGGTTTCAGATCGGCATCGCTGATTAAAATTATCTGGATAAAGCTGAAACGTGATGTTTAATAGCCGTTTCCGGAATTGAGTGCGTCTTTATAACTGCTTTTAATTATATCAGGTTGTGCAATTTGAGCAAATTGTTCAGTCTTGGCAGTTGCTTAAAAAGATGCAAAGGTTTTGTAAAATCATGCCCTCAAAATTTGCCCATTAAAAGAGTTCTTATTGGCCTGGCACAATTAGTTTAATTGGAAATAATGAAAAAAATATCGAGTCAAGGTCGCGCAAATTATATCAAATTATATCAAACTAAGCTTCTTGTTGGTACTAAAAAGCGTCCCAAAAAATGCATTAGTAGAAACAAAGAATAAAATGTCTTTTAATTTGCTTTGTACGTAGAAATGTATTTTAAGCGGTAAAAAATGGTTCTCAATCAAGAGAAAATGTTTTTTTTTAATTGACTAGTTTTTTCATATTGTTTGATTAAAATTATCGCATCGAGTATACGCATTTCAGAAAAGGAGAATTTTTGGTCCGAGATTGGTGGAATTATATAAAAAAAGAAATCCACTCAACAAAATGTCTCACTTTAGAATGTAGGGAAACAATAGAGAACAAAATTTTTTCAGAGCTAACCCCTTGCTTTTTCATTTGTCCAGTTGAGCTTCCAAAAAAAGATATACGCGTATTATATTAAAGTAATATTTGATAATTATTGCTCGGGATGGTTTGTCTTTTGTTCAGACTAAAATCGATGATCGAACCTATAGTTTTTAGCAGATAATTTTTCAATCAATTTCAATGATGATATCGAGTCGTGGAGTTTTACCAAGACCAAAGTTTTTCCGTTAAAATCAATTATCTGGCATTCTTTGTTTGAAAACAAATTAAACCCGCTAACAGTCAATTGAATGACAATCTTAAGCTTAAAGACAAAAAATGAATAGTGAAAAAAATCTTTTAAATTACTTTTAGTTTGCGTCAATTAAATATGAATTAAAATCAGCAATTTTTCTTTATAACTCCACACAAACAAACCCAATTCCACACAACAAACCTAATCATGTTTCTTCCATACAAACCCAATCAGTTTGATTTAACGCACTAAGCTTGTAATCATCATTTTTAGTACATTAGATCTTGTTACTGACAATAATTAGTGAGTGCATGGTCGCAATGTTTTTTTTTGCTCTTATTTTCATATTCAATTGATTGCTTATGCCTCAATTTTTTGCTTTAAATTTTTTTAGAATTAAAAAACATCAAAATGTTTCATAAAGTTTTTGCAAAACTTGACTTTTTTACTGATGGTTTTTAGTCAATTCATGAATGCAATAATGCATGATGGTTGCTCTTTTTTGGAGTTTCAGTTTTAGCAAAAAAATCATACCTAAAATGAGTTTTTTTTTAATTTAGTTTTTCACGTGATTCTATGGAGACAAAAACTTTTTTTTTGCGATATGGTATAAAAAAAATTTGGGGTTGAAATGGCAAAAAAAATATCATGAGATTTTATGCAGATGAAAACAGGTTTTGGTGGAATTATAAGGCGATATAATTGCTGTCAACATAATCATTTTTTTGCAATTATTTTTCATTGTTATTAGAAGGGCAGTCGGAACCTTCAATAATTTGCCCTGATAGCAGTCTTATCCGAATTGCACCGGGGACTTAATTTTCAATTAAATTGGACTAAGGGCGCATCCATATTTTCCAAACTTTACAGATAAGTCAATAGAAAATGCAATTAACGAATACAAAAAAAAATTATGCTCGGGATGATTTGTCTTAAATAAGACCCAATTGGTTAGTTACCAAAATATTGATTGTTAACACAAAAAAATTGTTAAAATGCGTTAATTCAATCACTGAACTTGCTGTAACTAAAAAAATTTACCCCCAGTATAGTTTTTCAGTTAATTTTGTTAGTTTTGTAATGCCCTAGGCTCAAAATTTCAACAAATTACCCAGGTTTGACTACTTTTTGTGAAACTATGGTGACTTGCAAATTGCCAGTTTAGTCATAACTGGGCAAAATTGTGCAAGGGATAGGCGCACATTTTTGTGTCTGTTTGTTCTTGGATTCCAGAGACAAGTCTTTAAACTTGCAATCCACTTACAAATTTTCCTTGGATTCCGCGTACAAATACCTGTAATATTAATATTGGCGGCCTATTTGTTTTGTCGCGGATTCGGCAACAAGCGAATATAGCTAGTTGTTCTGGTTCCCGCAACTGTAAGCGGATTCGGCAAAATGTACGTGGATTCCGCAATTTTGTTTGTGAATGAACTAAACCAGTTCTTGTATATGAACAATTAAAAGCTAGAGTTGGAATTTATAACGAGCAATGCGGAAATTAAAAACAAAGACGTGACGATTGTCAGCGAAATCAACGAAAAAAAATTTAAAACATGAGCGAAGTTGTATAATTTCGATCATGTTTCGAGATCGAAGTTGCTTAACTAAATCGGCGGATGTCACCTTTTAGTTTTTGTTAAACTTCCCAGCAAGCAAAATTTTCAAATTGAGTTGGAAATACCATCACCGAAAAGAAACAGTATTTGGGATATTACAATGGGTTCAAAAGGCTAAAGTTCAAATCAATATTATTTAAAATGAGACTGTTGATTAAAGATGGGAGCGAAAAAAGATTCACAAAATTTCTACAGCTGAATCAAACGTTAAGTCCAAAAACACAAATGTTTGTAAAAATGTTGCATTATCAATTTGTTCTGTTTTACTCGCACTTTGAAAAAAATTGAAAATAAGCAAAATTGAAACAATTTTTTAAAATTGAATTGAAAAGAACTGATCAATTTATTTTACTTCAGCTTGTTCAGTTGGCAGAAATTGAGATCAATTAATTAGCTGACGTCAATTTGTTCAGTTGGCAGGAACTAAGATCGAAGTTGGCTGTAAACAGGCAGGATTGAGACAGCTGTTTGCCACCGTGTCAATAAAACATTTAATATAAAACCCTAGCACATCAGTAACTGGAATGCTAAAACAGAATGCGGGTTTCGCTTCCAACTCGCGGATTTCGGTTACAGTTGCGGATTCCGAAACAGCTCAATTTTTATTATACCCATATTTTATTATTTGATTGTGGATGCCACAAACTGTTCCGAATTTCGCAAACTCGTCTATTTTTGGAGCAATTTTGATCTGTACATTTTTTTAGCTTTTTTTGTGGAATCCAAATTAACAAAAAAAATCTGAAAATCTAATTTTGCAATAAATTTAATTTTTGCCTGTTTTGGAATACACATACTCGTGATGGTCATTTTAAGATAATAAGTAATTAATAAACGCAAATTAGATTCCAATTAATGCGTAGCGTAGCATAAGCGAAAGCGGGGTTAACCTTACTCAGAAACCATTCCAAATTGTTTTGAGGAAGTTAACTAATGGGTCCAAATAACTCGTTAGCAGATGAAAACTATCTCCGCTTTGGAGTTTCATGGATACTAATTGTTTTTATTGGGTTTTAGATCATCTGTTAAAACTTGAACATAAGCAATTATAGTTGGTTAAAAATGAATCATAAGTCTTGTAGATTTCAAAGCAAAAAATTGTTCTCAATCGCTTTTTATTAAATTTTTAGTATATTAATTTCAAACTTTTTACGAAAAAAGTTATAATACTTCTTCTAAATTATAAATCAGTTTTTGTTATTTTTCTACTGCGAACTTTTTCATTTGTTCATAAACTTTTTAAATTTAGTTGTGTTACTTTGTTGTCCGACTCAATTTTACATTTTTCTTAAACTCATTCGCGTTTTAACATGAAACTCTAAAATTGCGAGTGGTGGAAGTCTTACCAAATCAAATTGAAAATTTTTCCCTAAAAGAAAAATCAATTGAAAATGTTAACTAAAAACTGCTTCATTTACAGTAACTTTTTATTTGACAGATTAGAACATGAAGGGCTTTGCACTAATATGTGCAGTTCTGTTTTTTTATTATTATTATTTACTGCAGTAACTAGGGACAACACAATAACTGCTGCTGATGTCAAGGCAAACAATAATAAACAAGCTGTGTAACAGATTGAATAATGGGAGAAACCTGTTTCTAGTTAATTTATCCCTTTTATTTTTGATTATACAAAAGTATGCTCTAACTGTCAAATAAAAAGTCTAACCTGAAATACAAACGGAATTTTGACACATTTAAAAAAACTTTAGGACTGGCTGAGTGTCGGTGGTCGGCAATTGTCAGTCCCGAAGTACTCCAAAGACGACTCGTTAGCCAATAAGAGCTCCCACAATCTGCTCCAATCAGTGCAGCCTCTGCCTCCCATTGGCCACCGAACTAATGCTGTCGAGCCGAATGTGGACCAGGATGACGTCACGAAAAACGAGATCAAAGATACCGAAAGAGATACTAGAGACAGAGAAAGGGAAGAAGACGTGATTAAAAACTATCCAACCAAGTAAGAAATAAGGACCAAGTTAACATCCTCCCCCCAAAGCCTTTTCGGGGGAGGATGTTGACTTGGTTCTAAGTTGGGATTTTTCAGCGAATCAGAATAGAGCATTTTACATGCAGCGCTAAGTAGATTTAAATTAAAATGAACGCTGGGGTGGAGTCTTAACTTGGTAAATTTGGGGGGGGGGGGGGGGGATGTTAACAGAAATAATCTTAACGAGTTCTATTCTGCTTGCAAAGTGTATTCGTAACTTAAAAGATAGAGACGGGCTCATGATTATCAAAAAGTTTTAATGCAATTTGTTTTAGTTTGAATAATTTTCCCCCGGTTCTCTCAAAACTATAAAAACAATCAAATTTTGTCAGGAAGTCAAATGATTTTTAGGAAAAACTATATTTGGGTACTGGCTGAAGATTTTCGCGAAGACAGCGTTTCATTTTCAATTTCACGCATTTTTCATGCTTTTTCATTCAATGATCTTGAAAAAAAACCTAAAACTGAGTGCAATGCTCGATTTTAAAGCTATATTTTATGTTAAAAACCATGATTAGTTTGGATGAAAAACGATTTCAAACTACCTGACGAAGACTCATTGCAGAAATAAATAGTATTTTACTTAAAGAAAGTAAAATTTTAGACAACCTTGGACCGGTTCAATGTCATCGGTGAAACGAACTTTCTCGACCCGGAAGGGAGCTCTCGTTTTATACTCTGAAGATTTCGCCGACAAGTTCGAGGGAGTCCTGCCAACTTTCACAGCCGAAGACTACAGCGTGCACTCGAAGCCGACAATTCGCGCGCCAAAAGTTCCTAAAAAGGAAACTTATCAAGCCTTCGACTCGGTGATTGAAGATGCAGAGCCGAAGCAAGAGAAAGAAGAAAATTTGAAAACTTGTGGCGACCTCTACCGGTCAATTTTGTCATTCGGAAAAGTGAGCATGTTTAAATAATGATTTCGCGGATCAAGTGAATAATCCCCCCCCTAAATCAAATTGGGGAGGATTACGTTCACTTGGCTAAAAGTAATATTTTTCAGCCAATCAGGTTTGAGCATTGTACATGCAGGCCTTACTGCTTGAATTTACAATTTAATTTTAAGGGGAGATTGTTCATTTGGTCTTTTCAGGGGGGAGATTGTTCACATGGGCTGATTTGGTATCTGGGTCTTTAGTGGTTGTTTCAGTAGCGTGTCGAGGGTGAAGGGGGTTGATTACGACCGTTTTTCCTCAATATACTATATACACTATTGGCTGACAAATTTGCGAGGGGAGCGCGCACAAAAAAAAAACATTTTTTTGATCAAAACTTATCAGAAACGTTCAAAAACGTAATATGTGACCTGTTTTTTTTTTTAAATTTGCTTAGAAGCTTAAATTTTTGCCAAAATAGGGTATTTATAGGGTTTTAAAGCAGTTCAGAAAGTCACTTAAAAAAGATCGCTTGTTTTTTCGATTCGCTCCCCCCCCCCCTCACCTAGAAAATTCCCGTACACTCCACTCAGTTGTTTTGCCTCGATTGGGCATCATACTCACTAGTATCTTTGTATACTTTTTTTGCACGTTAGCGTTAGCTGTTTTTGAGTTAGGCCATTATTTTTCGCTTTCATTATAAAGGATCAAAGGGATTGCAAATTTAAAGATTAAAGATACCTAAAATTATTGTCTCTTCGAGACGGATCTTTGGATTTTATCAAGAAAAAATAAGATTTCCCCCACCAAAAAAAAACATATTCCAGAGTTTGTCGTCGAGTTTTTTTAGCACTTCGAAAATTATATAAAAAACACAGGCAATTTTTTTGTATAAGGTCGAAAACTCCGTGTTTGGGTACTTTTTGGAAAGTTTTCACTAGCTAATTTTTTCAAAACGGTATTTCTTGATCGACTATTTCAGAACGAAGACGAAGAGTATGAGTTCAATTTGAAGATCAAACCCGAGCGCCACAGGAAAGATGAGCGTCAGATCCGACCTGGCTTTTCGGCCAAGAGATACATCAACACATTCAGCTTCACCTGGGACCCCTCAGTTTTCGACAATCTCAGAAACGAAGGTAACAAAGTGTAATCTGTATTTTATTCTAGGAGGAAGTTATAAAGGAAGTTATTTAGATGGGAGTGCGGTCAAAAAGTAGACAACATTTACTTCATACCGGTCAAAAAGTAGACAACTACTATATTAACCAATTAGAATCGAGACCAGAAGGCAAATTTAGGAAAGAAATATTTTTTAATGATATTGTAAAAGATCATCAATAATCATCCCCAAAACCAAGGCGCGGATCTCGAGGGGGGCGAATTTTGAGCTCTCCCC